TATGATAAAAACTAAAAACATAAAACCAATACAAATATAATACAATGGTATAATATTTAATTCAGTTTTGTATAAATTTAAATATATATTGACAAAAAAATCAGTTTTGCATATAAACTAGTTGTTAAATATATATATTTTGATTTAGATATTTTAGTTTAATATATATATATATATATATAAATCGATAAACCGACCCTTCATGTTTGGGTCGGTTTTCCTTCAAGGTCGGTTGGTTTCAGTTTAGTTAATAAATAAACTAACTAAGTTAGATCGGTTGAAGAAAATGACTCAAACCGACCCAACCCAACTCGTGAACACCCCTATTCTGAACTAGCACCCATAGTTATCATATACACATAGGGGTTCTATTAATCATCCACAGTGGCAAATGCCCCCTTTCTTTCCTAATTTCATTTGATCACCTAATCATCTAAGGTTTCTAGTTTGATTTTGGTCAAAATTATGGTTGAAACAGACATAAAAACTCGACTCTAGTTTGCTTTTCACTTTTTTTTTTTTTTTGTGCTATTTGGTGATACGCTCAAATCCCCTTTGGGTCCCATCACCACACTTGAGCTTCATTTGGCAGTGTGATTAATAAGGCCTTACCTCCGTATTGTGGTTTAAACAGGCGATAAATCTAGTTTAGGACGTTTGGTAAAATCATACTAAACCAACTTATCAAGCCCCAAAAAAATAAAAAAATAACTAATTCAAATAAGGGGTTCAAAGCTCATTTTTCTGTTTAGGTTGTGTTTGAAAACAATGCAAATAAAGTGTAAATGCAAATATGCATAATGCATTATGGTCCAAGCAAATGTAAAGTTGGGTTAGTTTTGCATTGACAAATTTACTTTCTTACCAAGCAACTTTAGTCGTAATAAATGCAAACACATATCTCGATATAGAAATAAGTTTGCTAACACTAACAACTTTGAATGCAAATTTACTTATGTTTTTCGATGTAAAACTACCTCTCATTTTAGGTGTAAACATGCCTTGAAAATTGTGGTTTTTGTCATTGTCAATACACAAATACTTATTGTCAAACTCTAGTGAAACTAAACCAAAGTGCATATTTGCATTAAACCGGTGTTTATAACCTATTTGCACCATTTTCAAATGCAGCCTTAATTTATTAAGGCCATTTAAAAAAATACTACTTTAATTATATTAATATTTTAAAAGACAAAAATGCCCATCATTTTTACCAAAATTTTTTCGTTAAGTTGCGTTGTTTGCGGTCTAAATATTGGACTGGAGGAGTTTTATACTTCGGTCCAGTTTTGTTGCCATTTGGATGAAACATAAGACTGTGTTTAGAAGTGATATAATTATTTACGGCAATTCAGTTTTGTCGACGTTTGGAAGGAGTATAAATCAAGATCGACATAAAACTCCACCGCAATTTAGATTTGTCGGCATTTGAATGGAATGGAGTTTTATGTCATAAATTGATGTAAGACAAGACCTCATCAAAAGTAAAATTTTACATTGATTATTGATGTAAATACTACATTGATTAAATTGGTGTAAACTCCACGCGTTTCAAAGTTAACATTCACTTTTTTTTTTTTTACAGTTTAGTGTAAAACACCATCGGTTCATCGATGTAAGTAACCATAAAAAAATCAATGTAAAATTCCTCATTATTGAGTTTTACGCCAACAACCGAGGGAAATTTAACTCTCGTAAAAACAATGTATATATTTACATCAATAATCGCTATTTTTTTAACCAACGAGTACAAAATTCCTCATGTTAGGTGTTTACACCGCATTCAATTACAGCCTTATAAACCATAACTCTGGTTTCTTTGACATTAGAGACGTTGCAAGTTTGCAACACTCACCAGTTTCCAGTCTTCCACCGAACAAGCAACTATTGTTTCTTCTTCTTCTTCTTCTTCTTATCCATTTGTTAAGTTTTGGTTTACATGTTTCATTTTTTGGTTTTGATTGAAGTTGTCCTTTTATGGACAAACATAACATTTGTGAATGATTTATCTGGAGCTACTAATTTGAGTTATATAGGAACAACAACTCTTGTACTTGCATGCATTGAATCGGCATTCCTCTAGTTTCCCAACTATGTGGGCCTTGTTAATCTTCTATATCTTGGAAAACTACAAACTGGTAATATGTCCATTCCCTCTTGGTGTAAATTATTGTATAATTGATGAGTTGATGAATTGAATTGGTGTTAGTGTCTCTTTTTCTCATGTACATGTTTCTTTGGATGGTAAGCCTATGTAGGAGGGGGTTTATTAATAGTAGTAGTAAATGAATAAAAGACAAAATACAAATTGTTTGAGAAAATAACAAATCGAGTTGTTTGTGTGGTTAACGTGTTAGAATGAAAATCACAACTAGATTTGAATCTTAAGCATCCTCAACTGGAGTTTAGTTTTCTGCCCACACCAAATGTTTAATGTGATTTTAGTAATATGTTTATGCTTTAAGAAATTTCTTGGTACCCAAGAATAATCTACAACCTCCTCAATAGTCTAAATTGAATCTATCTTGTGATGTGGAACCCCCTTCATCTCTTAAATAACTTCCTTTCATTGGTCTGTTGAATGTCATTTATGGTGTTTTAAGATGTGCTATACAACCTTATGGGAGTATGTTGAAATATTTATTCACTTCAATACAAGGTAACTATTGTCAAATGGATTATTTCACAACCTTTTTTTTTTTTTGTGAGGCCTATTTCATTTTTAAAGCATCAATAGTCCCCTAGTCCCCCCTCTCCTTTGGCATTATTCTTAATTTTCCATTGAAGCTTTGGTACTCTTCTTTTTGGAATGCTATAAAAATTAAGTTATAGGAGTGGAGAATGACTTATCTATCATATACCAGAAAATTTGTCTAGCTTAAGTAATTACAACTTAAACAAAACCCAGTCTACCTAGTTGAGAGGCTCAATGATGGCCTGGAGAAGACACCTTCAGCTCTTTCTGTGAAACCCCTTAAGACATATTAGTGTGTTGCTAGTTCTAGATATGCTATGGCTGCTACTTTATGTGCAGCTCTTGCTATCTTGCATATGCCCTTGTTATTTATTGATCTAACTCTACCTATATATGAAATTAATAGTTTACAATCATATGATAACGATCTAATAACCTTTCTTCATGCCTATTAGCCAACCATGTGAAACCAGTTCTTCATGCCAATTCATAGTAAGTTGGCTATTCATATTATTAGCCAACCATGTCAATACATAAAATATGTTCATAGGTGAAAATTCCATTTGTTATATAGTCACTACATTTTTTTTTTATATAACTATTGTTGTTTTCTTGATTTTTTCAAGGAACTTTGATACTTTATGAAATTTCTGATATTTCCTATATGTATTTTTATTTTTTTAAATTGTTATATGTATTTTGGTCAATTTGCAATATAGGGGTTTTTTGATCAAGTTAATTATTTATCAAGTCCACAATTAATTATGCTGAACACATTGATATGCAATGGTGTTTGATCCCAAATCTCTTCTACAACCAATAGGAGGCCTTACCAACCAGCTGGTTAGCACATTGCGAACACATTGGTATTTGATGTTTCATACTCTATAAGGCGTTTTGGGTAGTATATTTTTAATGGCCACTTATACAAATTATAAGGGTATTTTGATAATTTTGTTAATAAAAAGGTATTTTGGTCATATTTATTATGTTTAGGACCAACAATCAAATCATGATAAATACATTGACAAATGGAAAACACGATAGTATTAATTGTTTTATGACATTAGTGTGCCGTTTTTAGTGTTTTATGCTAAATAAAATCACAAGGGTAACATTGACATTTAGGGAGCAGCAATAAGTGATGCCTACCATTTAGTTTCTTATGTGACTTTTTTTTAAGATGACTTTTAAATTGGAAGTTTTAGAAGTCTAAAAAGCTACTAGGGTTGTTCATAAAATGAATCAAACCGACCAAATTGGATTCTATTTCTATCATTCTTTCTATATCTAAAAACTAAGACTAACCAATTAATTACAATTACAAATAAAAAACTTTTTTGAATGATATTCAAGAAAAGAAAAAGATCGCTATAGAAAAATTTATAGAATTATAATAACTATTCATGTTGAACGAAATGATAAAGGAATACCTGGAGACACGTATACAAAAGCTTYATATAAGAATCCACAAAGTTAACCCAAAGTGGTCGGTCGATTTCGGTTTGATTAATATTAAAAACGATGAATCGGTTTGGTAGTGGGTTATATATCCTTGTAAACCGAATTAAGATCGACCTGAAGTAAATACATGGTAACGTGCCAATAGAAGCCATTTGCCTTTTTTCCATTAATTTTTTTTTTTCTCTAAGCTGTCAATCCTATAATCTCTAGCCTCTCTCAATCGGTTAGTCCTATCATAGTGACAAAAGTTCATGTCAGTCCTAATATCCTCCCCCCCTCTCTCTCTCTTTGCTTTTGGGAACATCTCCCCCCTGCATAATACTATATAAAAGAAGAGATATTCTCCATGTGTGGCTGCGATTAATGTGGGCAAGAGATCTAAACTCGAATTTTGGTCTTTTACTTGGTTAACCAATAAAACTGACCAAAATACAAAAGGAATTTAAAATAATTTGTGTATTATTGTTAATCGGTTTTGGTTGGCTTAATTACCAACCCAATAGTATTGTTTAGATGGATAAAAAAAATAAAACCAAACTAACCCATGTACAGTCCTATAAGCTAGCTTAGGCTATGTTTGGTTTGAAGGAAAGAGTAGGGAAAGGAATGGAAAAAAATAGACCTTTACAAATCTTATATAGTTTTTTTTTTTTTTCTGCATTTCCCTTCTTTTCCCTACTCTTTCTTTCAAACCAAACATATCCTAAGTGATTGACAAACGCAGCATTGATCCCTTCCCCAAATTTGGTAGTAGCGGGATTCGAATTTCCATCTCTGCTGGAACGAACCGGCTACTATCTGCTTTTCAGTTTTCATTGGTACGTGGGATAAATGGATGATGATGCTCCGGATCAGGTCCGTCCGGAATAAAACCGCATTCGTTACCAAACACACATGCGTTCTAAACCCTGAACCCCGTAGCTGTATTCGCGACTGAAAGATAGACAGCTCCCCAGAGCTCAGCTTATCGGATAGGAGAAGCAAGAGCTGACAAAGATGGAGGCGTTGAAGGCCTGGAGCGCATCGTCGCACTCTTTCAAGCATTTCTTTCACCTCGCCTCTGCCACCACCAAGAGAGCCAGGCCCTTGGTGGTGGTCCGGTGTTGTGCTTCCTCCATCGACCGCAACAGACGCCGACCCTCCTCCTCTCCTTCATCCTCCACCTCTGACAGAGACGCCATTCGTGCCATTCGCCTCAAAAAGGTAAATGCTAGCACTGCTCCCTACTCGCGTGACAAATTTCTCTATACAAATCTCATTGTCTGGATAAAATCCAGTCAAAGCATTCAATTGGATACTAAACTTTTTTCTATGCATCCAATTCTCAACTTTGATTATCTGACGACGACGTTCAAAACCATTTCGACATTTAATTGCTAGTAGGAAATTAAATAGTGCATTAACATGAGTTGTGAAGGCGTAGATGGCAAATTGAACTTGAAGGGCTCAAGGAGTCATTTGCATTTTCAAAAGAACCATAGACGGTGACTATAAGAGTAGAGAAAATTGGTTATTTGCAACTATGAAGTGGATTGAACTGGTATAAATATCAGGGGGATTTCAGGAAACATTACATTCTAGGTGTTGATTCAGGAAGGATCAGGAAGGAAGGGAGTCATCAAGGACCAATAAAAAATAACTATTTACTTTGCAATGAATATGAAGTGCGATGCTTCAGATGGCTTATGAATCAGAATTTGGATGGATGTAAATTGTAACTGCTATGTCGAGTGAGAAGCACTGTGGCCTGCCCACAGGTTACAGAAGCTAGATGAAGAAACAACTCACTGAATCGTTGCGGTAGAGTATGATAGTGGCAGATGGATATCGTCTTTTTTTACCATGTTGATGCCCATCATTTGTAAGGCTGCAACTTGTGCGAGCCCAACCCAACCTGAGCTTTTGCATGGTTGGGTTGATGTAGGAATGCTCCTAAAACGTTCAGGTCTCAAAGGCCAAAGCCAAACCTTGGAAGCATCACATCCACATAATAAAACAAACTTATGTATTTTATTCTCTTTGTCATGGGAAACAACCAATATACCCATATTTATAAATTATAACCTAATATAGCAGCTGATTGTCTCTAACTAGGAATTCTACTCTTACTTGCCTTAGGAGTACTAAATGAAATCGAAACCAATGACTTCTGACAACTATATAACCAAAATAACCTTACTGTCAAACACTCCTGCTGTAAAACACTCTCTTAACTACTTCTATTTCTTAAACTTAATTACTAACTCAAAGCACCTGGAATTTATTCTAGCTCCCAGCTAGAATCTGAACCATCATTGTGCCAAATAAGAACCAAAGCCTTAGAATTGTTGGGCACATTTCTTATCCATTTATAAATCTTTTTTCTTGAGAAAGGAAAACTTTCATTAAAAGAGAGGGGAAGGATATACAGGATGTATAAGAGATTGATCAATCAGAAGCCAAAAAAAAAAAAAGAAAAGAAAAAAAAGAAACAAAAAGCCTTCCCAACCCATTAAAGAGGAAGCTCTATATTGCTGTACAAAAAGTCCCTGCCCACCCCGGATTTATCCATTTGTAAATCTTGAAGTTTGCAGTATGATCCCTATCACATAGCATGCTCAAAAAATGTTGGATTTACAAGATCTTGGTCCTGTTGGAAAGACAACTATGTTACCTATATCAAAACCATACAAGTTTTGATGCCTAAAAGTCTTACAGACATAGCGCCTACCAAGGCAAAGACATGCAATGATGTCACAGTCTGACACAAGCTTAGCCTTACCTATGGTTGGTGGGCTTATGTTAAGTGGCATTATCGTAAATATTTCTAGTATGATTTTTCAGAAAAAGTGATGTATCCTTTTTGGCAGACCACCAAAAGCTTAACATACTCTTTGAGGAGGGGTGGTCGACCTCCTTGGGTGCCTGACCTTGGCACTCCATAGACCAACATCCCTTGCAGGGTGGCCTTGGTTAATGGCTAGCTATCAGGGTTCCTCATGGGGATAGTGCATGGATCGGCACTGCGCAACGCACATCAAGGGGAGGTTTTGCACGTGGAACTGGCCTAAGCATGACCCTACACCTTGCCAACCTCGTGTCTAAGCTAATCGAGCTACTCCATTGCCCACGACGCACAGGTGTGTTCACAGCCCAGCGGTTGCTAGCATATCATCGGCACAATGGTTGCCTCACATCATCCGCATTCCCCCTTTGGCACGTAAAGGCGCCTCCCATGGACCGGCAAGAGACAACATAGTGCCTTGGCCATGTGCCGCGAGGTCATGAACCAGCGCCACTAACCTTGGTGGAGACATCATTGGGCCGACACATGGCCCTTACACACACAAAGGCTTATCCTGGCTGCACATGGCTTGGACGCCTCACGGGTTTCTTCTGCTACAAACCTAACATTGTGACAATGAGGCATATGTCTCGAGGCACAAGTCAGAGAAACATTTTTCAGGGCTGTATTGCTTGTTGTACATGGAGGCTTAAAGTTGGGGAATCACTGTACTTTAGAGAAATCATTTGGAAAAAGACTCCTAGGTCATTTTAAGTTGCCTAGCAAATAACAGCATAGGGCCATGGCAATATAGACATGTCGTGAGAGAAGTAATAAGGCCGGCACAGTATTTGATAGCTGAACTCTGATGGTCACAATGGTCACAAAGGGGGCAAACATCTTTGCTGATGTTCTAACCAAACAAGGGGTGAATAGGGCACAATTGTATCGGATGATGATAAATAGGGATTCTGTTGCCTAGTTATTTGAGAGGGTTTCAAATTTAAAAGTGTATTTGGAGAAGAGTTCTATTGCAGGAATTAATTTGGAGGATAGGGAAGTGGATTCCTTTGTGGAAATCTTGGGATGTGTCAGGACTTCGTCACCAATTAAGTACGTAGGATTTCCTTTAGGTGCTAATACCAGAAACAACACCTTCTGGCACCCTATCGTGGAAAGGGTAATGAAGAGGTTGGCTGGTTGGAAAAGGAATCATATTTCAACGATTGGTAGGGTTACGCTTATCAAGTCCACTTTAGCAAATTTCCTTGTGTATTACTTGTTTGTCTTTAGGATACCACAAGCTATTGCAAAAGAAGTTGAGAAATTAATGATGGATTTTTATGTGGCAACAAAATTTTTTTTTTCGTAAGTATACAATGTTTACTATAAAGTTAATGTTATATTATATAGCATTGTAATTGGTTAATATAATTTAGTACCAGGTGCCATTTTCTGTTAATTCAGTTTGCTATTTCTTCTCCAACTGAATGTGTTTTTAACTATATGAGGCATGGTTTGCACTCATTAATCGAAGAAGCCTTCATTTCTTTAATATTTCAATTTGAACTTGGTGAACATTCATTCTCTTTCAGGTGGAGGAATTAAGGACCAAGGGTTGTGAACCTTATGCATATAGGTGGGATAGGACTCATACTACAAGACAGTTGCAAGATAAATATAAGAATCTGGGAAATGGTGAAGAATCATGCAATGAGGATGATTTAGTGTCAATAGCTGGAAGAATTGTAGCTCGTAGAGCATTTGGAAAACTTGCTTTTTTGACTTTAAGAGATGATTCCGGGACAATTCAAGTATGTTGAAGTTCTTATTTACTGCTTTATGCTTGTTAAGCATTCTTGATTCATATTTCTTTGGATGGATTTCAACATTGAAATTCTTTTGTGGTGGTTAGGGTTGGTTTTCTTGATCTGCCTTAACATGTTGGAATATAGTAATCTGGAAAAGAGAATTCTTACAGCAGGAAAAAAAGGTCTAGTAACACAAAAATCTTGCCTAAAATGGGTTCTGATAGTTGGTGCAGTGTAACCTATATCCGTACATTGCTTTTGACCTTTTGTCTTTGATTTTAAATACATAATATACTAAAAGGATGGGCTCAGTCTGAATCTGATTGAACCAACTAAATTTTATGTCTGTCCGAGTGGGTTTTTGTATACCAGGTTGGTCTCAGAATGGAAAATCATGGCATGTTTAAGAATTGGCAGTCCTTGGTTTAATCTCACACAATTCATCCTTTGATATGCCATTTTTTTTTCAATGTGATATACTGACATGTATGTACAGAAGTCAGAAACTTAAAAAATAAAGAATTTGGTTGTATATCTACAAGCTCCTCTTGCTTAACAAATAACAATTTGAGCACCCCACGCTTATGTTTTTTAAACATTTAAAAGTGTTGTTCTAAACTTATGAAGTTCTGGTGTTTAGCTTTACTGCGAGAAGGAAAGGCTTTTAAATGATCAATTTGAGAAGTTGAAGACACTTGTTGATATTGGTGATATAATAGGCACGAGTGGCTCAATAAAGAGGACAGAGAAAGGTGATCCTTGAAATCTACCTCTGCTCTATCTTCAGTCATTAATTGGATTTCTTTGAACCCTCTTGATCTGTAGAAATCCTAATGGCAAAATACATCCTTAACAGTGTTGAGCTATTTGCTTCTGTTTTTATCCTTTGCTGTGAGAAATGAAGATCCAATGTTGGTCGTATTTCCATGTTGTCAAGTTCTCTTATGATGCCTTTATGTATGTTCCTTATCTGCAATTTAAGTCATATGAATTTTAAAAATTATCTATAACTCTAATACAACAGTTATTTTAGGATAGTTTAGGGACTTCTTTTTGTGGGTCGGTGTGAGGATACCACATCTTAAAGCCACAGAGGTTACTTGCTATAAGATCTGCTAAAAAAATTGTAAACAGCAAGGGGCTTCAAAGTGGTTATTGGTGTTGGAATTTCAAAACATTTAAAGCAGGAATTTTAATACATAATGGTTTGCTTATTGCTCATTTTAAATTTGAATTCAGAAGCCAGAGGATAGGCAAGCTAAGGTGGCAATTTATTGTCAATAAACAATCTCAAAGTTCTTCTCAAATGATGATGATGAAGATTTAGGGCCAAATGATTCTCTACCAGCTTCTGGGAAAAATAGTATACTGGAAATACTAGTGTTGAGGGGAATAGATTTGTATTTGGGGCAGTAGGATTACTTACTATTTCCTTTCTTTTATTAAGGGCACTCCTGTCCTGACTTAAACAGGGGTATTTTTGTAAACACCTTTTATTTACACTAATATAAGTAGTGGGCCAACTGGTTTAGAGGATTAGTGACTTCTAAACTATTCTCTATCTGTTTGATGAAGCATCCCAACCTAAAAAGTAGTGCGTTGTGAGATTTAGGTGGCAAAAGCTTTAGGCCTTTTCCTTTGGGGGGCCTGAATGAGGTCAACGCCTATTTTGGAGAATGGAAGAAAGGAATGTGGAAAGACGAATAAGAAGAAAAGTGTCAAAAGGAGGGAGTATTTAGATGGTTTGTCGTGAGAGGGCCATTTTAGAATCTTTGTCTAGTCATAAAAGAGAATAGGATGTACACTTTTTTTTTGCCTTGGCTAATGAGAATAGGATCTATACGTTGTTGTGGAACCAAGGGTTGCCAGGGGATAAGGTAGGAAGAAAACGCTATCCTAACCCCTATTGCAATGGGACCGATGAAGCTGATTAGGACTTTGTCCAGAAGTATGAGAGGGATGGGAAGATGTGGAAGGGGTAAGTACTAGCTTGATTCAATTAAAAGAGGATATTTTTGTTTGGGTGGGCCAAGGTTGTATATTAAGTTTTTTCTTTCAATTTTTTCCTTTCAAATTTAAGTGACACCTCATTTTGTTCAAGGCTTCAAGTGCATACCTCACCTTGTGCCTTTGGCTCTAGGAACCCCTTGCACTTTAGTTGCACTCGGTATGATTTAAAAGGCGCACGCTTGGTGCGCCTAGGCGTGCGCTTGGTGCGCCTAGGCGTGCGCCTAATGCGCCTTGTGCCTCAGCCCAGGCGTGCACCTTTTGAAAATTTGATGCTATTTTGCTTTTTTTGAACGTAGCGGCTGGGCGGGGGCTCCGCTCCCAACTCCCAATTTGGTAATGTTGTTCATTCATTCATCCTAATAAAATGTATTCTTAAAAAGCAATTACAATTATAAAATCATTATTTTTTGTGTCGAAACTAGGAATTTAAGACCTAATGTGGACTTGTTTAGGCTTGCCTTGAGGGGTGTGGCACAAAGGCGGCTCGTAGAATTAGGAATGTAATATGTTTTACATTATATTAGCTACTTGAAGTAATGCAATTGAATGAAAAAAGAGAATAGAGGTTTTACATGCTTGAAAATGTTTTATATGTTTGATTTTATTTTTAAATTCTCATTTGAATATGCTTTACATCTTATGTTTATGTATTTTAATTTTAGATAATAGGCTTTTTAAAACATTATTTTAAAATTTAAGTTTATATTTTTTTATTAATATTATGTTTAATATTTTTTGATTTTTTTGGCATTTTTTTTTGAATTTTTAGCAATTTTTACGTATTTTTGCGCCTTGCTTCAAAAAGGCACGCGCCTCGCCTTGCACCTTGCGCCTCAGGCGCAAATTGACCCTTGCGCTTTTAAAACACTGCCACTGCTTTTATAACACTCGATTTAGTCTTTGAACTGGTTATTGTCATCTGGGTTCATTCCCAACTTTAGCGGCTTCCCCCACCCCATCCATTATTCCTTGCTTCTTATTTTTTTTGGCAACTATCTTGTTCATGTTTCTCTATCTTAGTATTGTCCTTGTGAATGCTGCAAATGATCTTACTTATTTATTATGTGTTTTTTTCCCAGGGGAGCTTTCTGTACGTGTCAATTCATTTGCAATTCTTACAAAATCTCTACTTCCATTGCCAGATAAATATCATGGTCTTACTGATGTAGATAAGCGATATCGCCAAAGGTAAACTATAAAATAACTTTTCTATTTCTAGAATGATAATACAGTGCCAGGTGACAACAGATGAATATCATGAAACTTAATACCATAATTCTTGTAGATATCACAAGAAATTATGAATAGCATGAGTCCTCTTTTGCCATTCTGTTTTTTTGCTGCTGTATCCATTTTTTTTTTTGATAGATGTTCGGTGCTATATCCGTTGTTAAATTATGGGTACTTAAATCATTTCAAACTTTTAATTTCAAGCTGAATGACATATTCATTATGTTATTCTCCCACTAGTGAGGTATGTACGATTAACACTGCTATTGAGCAAACATCGAAGAAGTTGCAGGTGGTTCAGTCGGAGGGGGATAAAAGGATTGGGGAAGAAGATGAGAGGGGCAATGGAAGAAAGAGGAAGGCCTCTGATGATAGCGATTGGGGATACAAGCTGGAAAAAGTATATTATAGGAAGAGGAGAGTGTTGGGTACTGAATCGGCTCTTGAGGAAAGAAAGGAGGCTGAAACATTAATTCAGGAGGAAAATCTGGAGGGAAGAAGGGGAAGGGTGAAAGAGGAGGAGAAAAGGAGTGAGGAACAGGGAGGGCTGGTAACAATCGAGGACGGAGAAGTAGAAATTAGCAAGTTAGTAGAGAGGGAGGTGACAGTGGGCAAATCCTTGGGTCTGTTCTTCTGGGGAGGGGAAGACTTTGCGAGAAAGGCATTTGAGAAACTTGAGAGAGAGAGAGGAGGGAGTAAAAAGAGGGGGAGGGAAGGAGAGGAGAGAGAGTGGGACAAAGAAGGGGGTGAGGAGGATGAGGTTGTTAAGCTGGATTAGAGAGGATTGGGGAAGAGAAACAGGAGAACTCCATTGAGAACCTGATAAGTAGCCTTTTAACCAAAAGAGCTGACGTGTCACGGGGTGTTTTCAAAAGTATTAAGGTGTTGGTGGCTTTTGTTGGGCATTTTGTCTCGGATTGGGTCCGGTGATCCCTGAGTTGAACAGATTAGCAGATCAGATTTGGGGGAGATCTTGTGGAATGTAATTGAATTTCAGATTTGTATCAGTCTCCAGTTTGTTTTTGATGGTTTCTAGTTGCTTTATATTGTCGAGGTACCTGCTTGTCACCTCTTTGTAACCTTTTTTCTTTTGAATAAAATTTCTTACTCTTCAAAAAAAAGTCTCATAAGACTATTGTGATATGTACACTAAACAGATTCTCCTCAGGAATTTTGAACAGACTTACTACCAATCCACTGCAAGGTTGCAATAAACCATTAAAATGATTTATATCTTCATCATCATTCCTGCTGTTGTCATTGTTATGTGTTAGTGTCGCTTTGATTGTTAAAGTGATGTATACAATATACTCAATTTCAAGGAAGAGGAAATTTGTGGTGTTTACTTATAAAATCACCAAGCAGACTCAATTTTGTTGACATTTTCACAGATGCTCTATTTCAGTTTTTCATTTCCTGGAGATAAAATAGTGCACTTATTCTCTTTTTTCATGTAATTGATTTTAATATCTATTGGCCATATTTTGTGTCTAGGTATGTAGATATGATTGCAAATCCTGAGGTAGCTGATGTATTCCGAGCAAGAGCTAAGGTGGGGAGTACTTTTTTTTATTAATTTTCTGTTTTATGATTTTTATGATCTTTTTTCTCATCAGCTTTATGATTTTTATGATCTTAATCTGTGTTTGGTTTGGAAGAAAGTTAGGGAAACCTATACAAAATTGGAATAACAAACAACCAAAGGAAGAAGAAAAGAACAGAGGTGGAGAGATTGATTTTCGACATCGAAGGAGATTTGGATTTAGTGGAAGAGGGGAGAGAAGGAATGCCTCTAAGTGGGGGCATGTAACTTCAGGTGGGTTCCAAAATCCTTGTTCCCATAAAAATCATTAGTTGGAATGTGAGGGGTTTAGGTAGTGCATGGAAGAGAAGGCTAATTAAGGATCTCCATAGAAGGGAAAGGCTGGATATGGTGATGTTACAAGAAGCCAAATTAGTTGAACTCGACAGAAGGTGGGCAAGAAGTATTTGGAAATCTAGAGGAATAAGTTGTGTTTCTATACCTTCTTGGGGGACTTCAGGGGGTATTGTCACTTTCTGGACAGAGGATGTTGTGGAGGAGTTAATAGGAAATTTCTCAGTGTCATTAAAGTTTAGAGTGGTGGAGGATGGCTTCACTTGGATACTAACTAATGTGTATGGACCAAGCAATTACAAAGAGAGGAATGAATTCTGGGAAGAACTATTTGGAATTCGAGAGTTGTGGGTCCTTGGTGTTTGGGGGGATTTCAATGTAATTCAATTTACTAATGAATCAAACAATCCTTAACGGACTATTACAACCAACATAAGGAAGTTCAATGAATTCATTAATAGTTTGAGTTGAAGGAACTCCCTTATTGCAAGCTCACTATACTTGGTCCAATTTTCAGGAAACCCCAGCTTGCTTGAAGTTAGACATATTCCTCTTTAACGAAAGTTGGGAAATTCATTGGAGGGATTTGATAGCCACAACTCTACCCAGAGTTGCTTTTGACCATTGTCCCATTGAGCTAGGATAGGAACCCTTTTAGAAACATGTGGCTGACACACCTGGACTTTGTGAAGAAGATTGAGGATTGGTGGAGGGTAGAAATAAGTAGGGTGAGATTCCACACAAAATTGAAAAGTTTGAGGTCAAATTAAAAGAATGGAACACATATCAATTCGGGAGAATAAAGGAATTGAAATCTTCTTTGTTGGTCCGAATAGAGAAATTGGATGCGAAGGAGTCCCAAAGAATCATGAGTATATAGGAAAGAGAATTGAGATGGAAGTTGAAGAGGGATTTAGAAGAGGCTCTTTTGTAGGCAGAAATCTAGATGTAAATGGATCAAGGAGAAAAATCTGGTGACTAAACTTGGAGTGGATGGATTGGTTCATGAATCCTGAGAGGAGATAACCAATTGTTATGTTGATCATTTCAAATCTATTCTGAGGAGGCCTTTAGGTAATAGAGTGGAGTTGGAAGGTGTGACTTGGCTGAGACTTTTTGAAGAAAACAAAGGTTGGGTGGAAAGGAATTTTGAGGAGGAAATTTGGTAAGCAATCTTCTCAATGGATAGATCCAAGGCTCCAAGGCTGGATGGGTTTACTGTGGCTTTCTTGCAAGATTGCTGGAATATAATTAAAGAAGACTTGTTTGAGGTTTTCAGAGAAATTAAAGATAGGTTTGCTATAAGTTGTGGAGTTAATGTTATTTTCGTAGCCCTGATTCTAAAGAAGAAAGAGGYCAAATATTCAAAAGGTTTTAGACATATTAGTCTGGTGACGGGCATTTATAAGATTCTGGCTATGGTTGTCTTTGAGGATAAAAAAGGTGCTCCCTTCCCTCATCTGTTAAGCTCAAGGTGCCTTTGTTCAAGGGAGACAAATAATTGATTAGATTTTAATAGCAAATGAAATGTGTGGAGGAGATAAGAAGATCGGGTAATCAAGGCTTTGTTTTTCTGATAAGTAATAAAGTAATTTATTAAGATTAATCAAGATGAACCAACAAAAGGTACATGATAGAGTTCCCACAATGAGGTGTGAGATGTTGCTTCAAGATAGCAAAATTACAATTGAGCCCAAAATAATTGATCCCTATGCACCCCTTGCTTAGTTAAGAGGTCTGCTAGTGCTAGCCCATTAGCTGATCTCTTCTCACACTGAACTCTAACCGTTAAATTGGAGGTTAGCCACTTAAATCTTCTCATCACCCCTATATGACCACACTATAGTCTCCAGCTCTTTCAGCCACCCAATTTCCAATTTACAGTCTCCTTTACTGATCTATCTTGCGAAGTTCATTTTTTTGCCAACTGTGCTCCCTATAAGACTGCTTAGACCTCTGCACTAACTGCACCCCCACTCCAATTGGACCAAAAGGCTTGGGATTATCGAGGCTGCTACCATCAAAGTTTAGCTTGATAAAGCCTTCTTTCTTCAGGGGGTTTCTAGGCAACTATTGGCTTGTTCTTAACTGAAGAAGAATTTGCAACCACTTCTCAGTTTCTCCACATGTCAACTAAAGAGAATTGTGAAAAAAATGCGATATTTAAGCCCAATCAATAGCTTTGTTCCGCAAGCAATCCCAAAAAGAAGTCTTATCCCTCTCTTTATCATTGAAGATTCTGTTACTTCTTTCCTCCCGCACTATGCATTCTAGAGCAACCCTAACATATCTCCATAAAACTCTCCCTCTTCTCTTAGGCCACCTGAAGCTTGTAGGGTCAAAGAGTCCCCCGATTGCAAAGGCAACGTCCACCTACAACTATTAAGACCAAAAATCTTCTCCCAAAGCTCTACACCAAAAGGGAAAGAGATTAGTAGGTGGTGGAAACTTTCTCCATTAGCTTTGCAAAGGATACACCAATTTGGGGAAATACTAAGGTTGGATATTTTCTTTTGCAAGATGTTCAAATTGTTTAATTTGCTAAGATATACTTCCTAGCATAGGGATCCCACCTTGGGGGGATGGGTTTAAACCGAATTTCTTTACAAAAGAAGGGTTGAGGGTTAGGGGTGGAACACAACTGAGAGAAAAAAGAAGCACAAGAAAAAATACCCAAAGTGTTATTCTAGCATTAGGTTTGGAGTGGTCTAAACAAATCGAGTCAAGGGTTTTAATTAGCAGAGCGGCTTGGTCTAGCTCAAAGTTTCTCAGATCCCTTCTAAAACCTAGATTCCAATTCAAGCCAGGAGACTAGGATAAGGGTACAAACCTTTGAATGGGTTCATTTTTAAAGAGGGAGAGGGAATACAAAGAGGGATGAAGATCCTTAAGGGTGGAGTTACCAATCCAGGTGTCTTCCCTAGAAAGAATCCTATGTCTAATACAATCATCATACCTGATAAGACTAAAAAATTGGGGAAGGATGCCAAGGCAATAATAGCCTTCCATGGAGAGTTTAGAGTATCCTGTCATGATACTCCAGCATCCCAACCATTCTCTGCGTGTCCATGAATACTTCTGACAACCTTGTGCCAAACCCTCTCTCTTTCTCTAGTACAACCTTTGTTTGTAAATTGGATCTTGAAAAGGCTTATGATTTAGTGGATTGGAGCTTCTTGTTAGTGGTGCCAAGGAAGTGTGGTTTTGGAGATGGTGTAAATGTATTAGTTGTTGCCTTCTTGCCATTACTCTATTCTTGTCAATGGGGTAGTCAATGATTTTTCCCAGCTTGTAGGGGCCTAAGACAAGGTGATCCAATGTCCCCTTTCTTATCCACATTAGTTGCCGATGCATTTAGTAGATTCTTATTAGAAGTGGACAGGACTGGGTCAATAAGAAGGTGGAGAATAGGCAGAGATAGAGTTCCGGTAACTCACTTTCAGTTTGTAGATGACACTACAATTTTTTTGTGAGGGTTATGATTTGACAAAGGCGAGAAACCCAAAGAATTTAATAATCCTCTTTGAGAATGCCTCCAACCTGAAAATCAATTTTGAGAAGAGTTGTATGGTGGGGTTAAACTTGGAGGGGGGGGGATGGAGTCTATTGCTGCCTGTTTAGATTGTACCTGTTCTGAATGGCCTTTGACCTATTTAGGACTTTCCCTAGGTGCTAACCCAAAGGAAAGTCGATTTTGGAACCTTGTGGTTGAAAAGTTCGAAAAAAGACTGGTGACCTGGAAGAAGAACTACATTTCTCTGGGGGCCAGCGTAACTTTAATTAGAGCAACACTTGCCAACCTGCCACTTTACTTTTTGTCACTCTTTAGGATACCTAACAGGGAAGCTAAGAGGATGGAAAATTTGACGAGGGATTTCTTGTGGGAGCCAGGGAAGAGAAAAAGGATCACTTGATCAGATGGGAAGTGATGAACCGAAGTAAAAAAGAAGGGGATTTAGGGTTAGGGAATTTAGTTAGTAAGAATGAAGCTCTTCTTCTTTTTTGATCAGCAAGAAATTTAAGAATTTTATTAAGTGATGCTTAAACTGTTTAGTACATAAAAAGCGATTACAACCCCCACACATTTGCAAAAGTTACAATGACACTCAAAACAGCTGTTGCCTATATACCCCTTGTTTTGCTAAAGCATCAGCCATCCCATTCGCAGTCCTTACCCAATTGAATGTAATTTCAGCTCCTGTGTTGTGCTCCGTATTTCCCTAAATTCTTGCCTATAGACCCATGGCAGTAACTATTTATTTCTGTCTCAAGAAATGGTCATCTTTGAATCTACCTCTACTTCCAGTGCTGAAAGCTTGATTGTTTAGTGAGTCTTAAACCTTGCAGTAGCACCAACAGTTCATCCTTTAGTGAGTCTCCCAGCCCCAAAGGTCTTGAATACATAGCAAGTGCTTCCCATGGAATTCCCATCAAAATTTAGTTTTACTTTATTAGTTGTTGGGGGTATCCTCTCCATGACTATCTTATCCTTTTCTTTAGAAGAGAAAGCCACTTCAGTCCATGTCCTTTTGATTTCATTCACTGAAAAATCTTTGAATATATCAAGTGTTTTTATCCAATGTGCCGCTCTGATTTTTATAACTTCACAAATTTTCTCTTTCAATCTACTTTCTCATTAAATATCCTTCCATTCCTTTCCTCCTATACAGTCCACA